TATGTCATTCCAACATACCTAAAATACTTGATACCTATGTTATTTTGCATTTCTTCAACGTCATTAAAGCGAAATATAGATACGATACAGTAATAGGGTTGTGTGCGGTCCGCGGAATACACGGATTCCTCCCAATATTTCTGACAATCTTCTAGCGACCTTTGCTATGGACTACTTGGCATCACTTGATACATCCATCTACTACGATCAAGTGCACTGTCCGACGCGGGCTTTGGTTTGTTTATTTGAAACACCCAAGACTATAAGGCACTCAAGAGTACAAGAGGTACAAACGAACATGAAAAAAAAATCACAGTAACGTTCATACTTGCACTGTGTTTCCTCTGTAGTGGTATTCCGGATCAGTGGTATTCCGGATCGTGCATGTGTAGGTTTCGAATCGTTGCTTGCTACACTCTCGTCAGATTCGACAGCCCTGCCGTGCATATTTGAATATACACAGGCGCAGTGTGGTTTATGAGTGTCATTATTTCCACACGGACCCCCACATACTCACAGACTTACTCACGTGACCCACTTAGTATAAATATACGAGGCGCTTTAGTGACTTTGATCGCACTGGTGCACCATACATGTATGTTTATATGCGGAATGGTTTTTGCGTGCCAGGCTTCTACTTCGGTATCGACGGGTGCGAAGGTCTTGTGCCCGAGGCCACGGATATACCTGGGGATCGAACCTCACATATCAATGGGAAGGTGATAGTAAAGCCACGGATGGGACTTGCACATGAGAAACAACATGCGGATGCCAGGCAGAGCGAAGCTACAAACACATCGCACAATGAGAGAGACACTTTGCAGAATGCCCAGCAGGCACAAGCGTTGGGCACACACACAGATGAAGGAACTCCGAATCAGGCCACGACAAGCAAAGAATCTGTAAGGAAGACTCTGGGCCAAAGAACAATGTTGAATCGGCCAAAGAAGAAGACTCAAACTGTGCAGGACTACGTGCAGCGGAACGCACTGGCGGAACGCTGGAAACGTGCGGATTGGTTCCGTAAATGTCGCGAGAAGGTGTGTTGTTTGCTGCTGTATGGCGGTGTATTGTAAGACTTGAGCTTTGTTTTCGCATCTCCGCCCCGAAGAGTTTGCGCGATACGTTAATACAGGTGCGAGTAACTATTATCCGCGTGATCGAAGAATTGTGAATTGTACTGGGATTGGGTAGTGTTTGTGTACGACCATGTGTGCATTTGTGTGCTTGCACAAGTATTAAATTCAGTAGACGATCATCGGACAATCTGTGTGTGTATAGTGACTCACCCAGACTTGAAGCTTTTAAAGCGGCACGCGATCTGACCATCGCCAATCATGCTCTGCTCATGATCAACGATTGCGTTGTAGTCGTCGAATCCGAAAGTAATTTGGAGCTTCAGTTCTGCTAAGATTTGCCTGAACTAGCATCACTAACTTCTGCGCGTTCTCTCGACTTTGTCATGGATTCGTCAGGCCATTAATGCCATAGTGCAGAGCCCGATAGAAAGCAGTCCCAAAGTCAATGCGCGATTGGTGGCGCTGCTGGGGCATATTTGGTACGACTTTGACAGCCTCACACCACGCGGCCGTATATCTGGGTAAGGCCATTTTCTTATGTAAAATTTATCAAATTCACATCAAAGGCATGTCTTTGTATATTTATATTTTTTATGTTTTCGTTTGTTACACTATTTAACAACGCGGACATATACCTGGTTAAGGTCATTCCTCTTTTTTTTTTTGGCATATATCAAATTCAGCAAAAACATGTCTTTGTATACATATCTGGTTTATTTATCTATTTGCAACACTATATAATCAACTATTTCCTCGGGATTTTTCTCGAGCTGATTAGTTTACATTTACTCTGTCCCTAAAACTACCGCAGGATTGGTTCTGGATATCCTGTGGTAATCTGCATGAATATGTATACATACGTTTGTGTAGTATTAGTTTGTGTAGTAAAAGTCGATGACGTTGGACTGTCATGTTTTTTCGTGTGGTCTGCTCACCAAAAAATACCTTTTAGGCCTAAACTCAAATGAATGCGTTTATTTTTGCGGTCTAGTCGTTCTGAAACAACGCCCATCCATACCTCCTTTTCGCTTTATATTGATACGAGAGAGAAAAACATTGTTACTGTGGTCGTTGATCATTGTTCACTGCTATTCATGATATTGACAGAGGCTGGGAGGAACTGATTACAGCTATCGACACGCACACAAACGAATTTGTGCAGTGTCTTGTAAAAGCAGCGGAAGTGGTGAGTGCGTCTGAAGCGAATGGACAAGAGAACATAGAGCACAGTGCAGGCACTCGGTGGGAGAGAGCAGTGGACGAGGCTACAGCATCTATGTACGCGCGCATCAATCAACGGACGATGTAGTCGTGCTCGGTTGTCATGACAACATTTCTCGAGGGGGGGGTGACTTTTGGTATGCTATCGAAACAGCAGGTTTATGTCTATGATCACACGCAACACCTCAGTCATGGTATATACAATCGTTGCTCATAGTGTGATACTATCCTGCTTTCCAATATGGTTGCGAGCATCGTTTTCTGACGCATCTTTTCTATGTATTCTGGTTCCATATACCGCACTACTGGGATTAGATCGCCGTCAAGTAGGCGAACGAATGTGGCGGTCATGGTGCCGTGATGTCTCAGATATTCCTATGCCTTCTTTTTGTTCATATACAATACGGAAGATTCGTGTGATCGCATACGTCAATCATGCTCCGCAATAGAGCAATGGGCGATACGCGGCTCATCGGTCTAAATCGATTGAGATAATTTTACGATAATAAAATATTCTGAAGCCATCTGTAGATTGCAATCGTATGTCCTGAATAGTACAAATTGCAAAGAGTATTACTGAATTTAATGGTTCAACCAAGTTTAGAATTTGTGAGTTACATTTTAATAATGCATGCTAATATATAGCAGATTGACTATGCTGCCTGCAATATTGATAGCTGTTATATTCTTGGGCCACTATGTGTGATTATTACTTACTTGTGACTCTATCATTGGCTTCAATACAGCCCCTCTGTATTCATTTCATTTGTCGCCACCAGCGCATCCCAAAACGGACCTATATTTACGCCAATCGTACATTGATCAGTGCCTGCTCAAAGTGCGAATGCGGTATTGCTTCTGACAGTTGTCTCTAATTTATCACATGGCATAGAGCTCCAAGAGCCGACTTGTCCCTGCAACTCACCACAAAGTGGCGACGTTTCTCATCTCCGAGGGACGAGAATCCGTTGTACACGCTCAGCAATGCAGTGACAGGCGCCGTGGCATGCACATGAAGATGCAGCAACTGCACACCCTCCTCCAGGTATCGTTCGGCTTCGCGCTGTGTGAGCACTTCGTACATATCTTCGTCGGCTTTCCACCGCAGAGGGCCAACGCACTTGAAGAAGTGGCGCGATGTCGAGGTTGCGGCCGATTCTGTGAAGTTCGTTGTGCAGAGCAAGCGAGTGTCAATAACCATTTCGTTGACTGCGATGGGTTTCATCGTCTCTCTCGCATCGGAATCAATAGCCGGAGTGTACGCCGATCTGTTCACCACTTTGACGATCTCCTGCTCCTACTGTTGCTGCATCTCCCTTTGCACAAGCTTATTGAAGCCATGGTCGGTGTTGGCTGCTCCTGGGTCGCTGTGTGGCTGCAGAGACTTTGCAATGGTCTCCATACCGGCATGCAGTTCGGAACCTGGTGTGTCATCAATAAAGTGCTCCGCATGTTTTGTTAGCAGTGCGAGTGCACGTGTTGCAGGTGTTTCTGGGCGGCAGTGCTTGCCATAGAGGGCGTCTGGCTGGTCCTGGTCATCTATATACCATACCGAGGTCTCAATCTTTTCTTCTGCGGGTAAGGTCTGTGATGTTTTTTCCAAACTATTCGCATCATCAGTCTCAATCGTATCACCATTGTCCAGTTCATCTCGCCGCCGTTCAGCGTCTGTGATGCGGAAGTACACAGCCTGCTCCACCCAATTCACCACGTTGCTCTGTACCGCGTAATCCGTATTCAGCAACAACCACGCCACTAGGCGCTGTGCACAGGACCAGTCCTTCGTACCCGTAGAGGTTTCGTTGATTTTCTCTGAAATCACCTCAGGCACCACGAGACCAAACCGCTGCGCGCCGTCCAACTGTCGTAAGCGGCCGATAGCCTGCATATACGCATCCCGGGTCAGACCTGGGCCTATAGTGACCAGAGCAACCGCATCATGCCGCAGCGCATATCTACCCGCGTATGTGTTCCTGGTCATACAGCACCAGGCACTGGTGCACGGGGATGGTGGAGGTGGCGATGTCCTGGGCCTAAGTGTGTGGGACTGTGGACAGCGTGCGCCACCCCTCAGGCGAGTGGTAGATGATGCCGCGGTGTCGCGTTGAGACTGAAAGTTCGGTACGGCAGAGTGTGTGGCCCTGGAACAGCGCGCCCACGTCAATGATGGCATCCACCGCGCGTTGGTTCGCTATGGCAACGATGCGCTCAATTACGTCCTCGTGTGCACCCACTGAGAACACGTCCTCGTCCTTGACGCGGTGATTGATGGCTAGCATGCGTCTGTTGGCCCCTTCATGTCCTTCCAGGTGACCCATGGCTGTGGCATAGTTCAAAAGTGAAATATAAATACTTCAAAAGTGAAATCAGCAATCCAAGATCGCGCGTGCCAGAGAACCCAACGATTCTGCGAGAGCACGCCATCAAATGCCACGAGTTGGTGGATATAGACTGTGGATAGGTCTGCAGCTCGTCCGGGAACAGGCACAGTTTGAGCCAGAAGTGGACCAGTGCATGCTCATGCCCAATAGCCTGGTGCAGTGTTTCAATGTTGAGATCGGTGATATCGTTGACACTGCGCGGACACTCTGTGTCTGCGTCTATGTTGGCTATCCACGTCTCATACTCAGCATCACGTCGGGTGGGACCATAGGAATATCTGAGACATCACGGCACCATGACCGCCACATTCGTTCGCCTACTTGACGGCGATCTAATCCCAGTAGTGCGGTATATGGAACCAGAATACATAGAAAAGATGCGTCAGAAAACGATGCTCACAACCATATTGTAAAGCAGGTTAGTACCACACTATGAGCAACGATTGGGTGTACTATGACTGATGTGCTGTATGTGATCATATACATACCACCCCCCCCCTCCCCCCCCCCTGCATACCTCAGAGTGTCCGATTCTTTTGAGTGATAGACGGTACAGATCGAAGCATCCACAACTGTGTCGAAGCGGCTGCGGCTCTGCATTACAACCACACTATATATATATATATATATACAGTCTCCCATACGACCCTGTACGTAGACCTTTATGGTAGGTTACATGTGCTTGGTGGATGCGGAGAAACTCAACACAACTTGTACCACTCCTACTCTTCCTCACTGACCGTATAATAACCGAAGCTCTAAACTACAACTTTTCGAGGGCGTCAGCGCCAAGAGTAGCGTTACAAGACCTTTATCAAGCACCTGTGATTGGACTGCTAAGAGTGAGAGGCCTGCGACTTGTCAAGACAACAGTTTCTTCCCTGCGTGACTCATCATGTGTGCGTTGAGCTTAGCTTCGCAACTCAGTCTTTTTTCACACCCCTCCCAGACACAGGCAAATCTATCCGTGTGCGTGACCCGATGTCTTGCTAGGGCATATTTAGTAGCATACCGCTTGTCGCACCCTCCCTCAGTACAGGCGAATGGGAGCACTCCGCTGTGGTGCTTCATCATGTGCTTGACTATCACTTGCTTAGCTGTAGCTACGGCATCACAGTTCTCCCACGGACACGCAAAGGCAGCTTCACGCGTGTGTGTTCGCATATGTGTCACAAAATGCTCTCGTCTTTTGCGGCTGAAGGCGAAGTCGCAGCCCTTCCAGGCACACGTGTGAGTGGCTGCTATGAAATGGCATGAGGTATGCGCCACAAGATTGGCGTGCGATGAGAAGTCCATCCCGCAGTTCTCAAATGCACATGCGACTGGAAGCTCTGTAACATGCATATACATATGCCGAAAGAGAGCATCCCCGTCTGGTTCCCTCGCATCACAGCCATGCCACGCACACATCAGTGTATTCGGGGATTGCTCATCCAAGAGGTGATGTGATGGGGGATTGTCAGATACTGTGCGTAATAGGAGAGGGGGTGGGCCTTTCGTGGGGTCATTCCATTCCAGCTTCACATCTGTCCATTCTCGCTTTGTGTTTGACGGACATGTGCTGATCTGGGCATCATCGACACTCGCCTCCAAAGCAACATTGTCTGCATTCACCGCAGCATTGATCGAAATCATTTGTGGTACTCCCATCTGAACATCCCTTGCCTTCGTATGTAGACTAACTTTCTTTGGTTCAAAACCAGCCCTACCACCCAAGGCGAGCGAAATCGTAGGTTTTTCTACTGCGTTGGGCTCGTGTGCAGTCCTTTTCATTTTCTTATTGGTCGACGCGTTTGCGTTCATTAATAAGTTCGATTGAGCACGTCCTAAAGTATCCGCTGACAAAGGTTCGCTCACCAGCCTCGCAGATGTATGTGGCGTGTCTGACATAGGATGGACTAGAGTATTCTCACCCCAGTCGACCCTCGAGGTGTGTGGCTTCGTACCGTTCCCACGGCACCTCGTGCGCCCGTCAGGAGACTGTCTCAGCGTGTGCGTGTTGATCTGGTTGTTGGCGCTCAACCGCTTGTGCCGCGAACATCCCGTGGTGCCAGTTTTATAGTTCGCTTTAGACCGTCTGATCGTCGGTATGACCATCGTATTGCTGGTAACAGGATAGGTGACGGGAGTATTGCACCTCACCTTGGGTTTGCCACTTGTCGGTTTGGCAACCGATGTGTCGACAGCAGTGCGTGCTAATGTACTTCTGCCCTGCAATGTGCTCTGGTACGGAGTGATTTCCTTTGCACTGATGGCTTGAGTCCCATCCTCGACCAGGCTGTTTAGCACATCATCGGAACGGATTGTTGTTGCATGTGATCTGGATTGGCTATCCTTCTGACCGCATTTGTTTGGATTGTGAGATGTTATAATGTCGGGCGATCTCTTCAGAGGAGTGGCTGTAGATCTTCCCGTCGCATGAAGAGCCTTCATCCGCGTCTTCCCCTTTGACTTCCTTTTCTGACTACACGCACATACAGCTTCCACCATTGGCTCATTTCTGGAGCGGGGAGACCTCTGATCTAGCGAATGCAAACTGACTGTGCCATTTGGGCGTGTAATCGGGGTACCTATTGATGAATCAGCAGCCCTATCACAGACCTTGCTCAGTGTATATGACCCACACAGGACTGGTGGAGAGTGTCTATCGGCCAGCTCAATCGCTGTAGCCCGACAAGTGCGCTTATGAGGCTGTACACTACCACTCTTCCGCAGTTTCCGAAACTCACAGACTGACTTGTGCTTGTGGCGTTTCCAATCTATGCGCTATGAGAGGTAAGGATACAAATTAGAAATCAGGGCCAAGTGATGTCTGAATAAAAACGCTGATTGTAGCGGTGCTGCTTGAGATATGAAAACCTCTCTGTCGTGTAATGTCAGAAATAATTCGGCATATGTGGTATTAGTCGTACAAGATCTCAAATGCAAGACCTGGCACGATGTTCAGGCGAAAATAATATATGGGATCCAGTACACACTTCGCCACCACCAAACGAATTCCACCAATATTTAACGATATATATACATATAAATTAATATTTACTTATACATACATACATACATACATACATATATATATATATATACATACATGTACATACATACAACATACATACATACATACATACATACATATATATATATATACATGTATATATATATATGTATATATAT